AGGAGCCTTTGAGAGTGGGAGGGCAGTTGATAATCCTCGATAGTGCTTGCTGTCAGTGACAGTCACTGCCTCCTTGGGATGTATGAACTTCTCTAATCTCATTAGTGATGTTAGATGAACGTGCTTTGGTGATGCAGGCTATTCCCTTAGCCAGCAGTTCCACCTTCTGATGAGGAATATCTGCAGGAGATGAATAGATCCTAAACGAAATTGTTAAGCACTAAATGTTTCATCAAGTGAAAAGTAGTCAGTGTGGCTTTAAGTACTTCGTTCTAACCTGTGGGCCTATGAAAGTGAAAGCTTTTATAGTTCCCTGAGAAAGACATCCCTGAATTGGGACCACGCAGTTCTCAAGCAGTCACGAGGAGAGATGCCAGATGAAGCTCAGCCCTTTTCAAGATGCTGTCACTGGCAGCTCTCATTGTTCTTCTGAACAACTACTCTAAGGGAAAAGTTTTCTGTTTTCCAGAGATTAAAGCAATCCTGTCTTCATTCACTGCTTTGTCACTTGACTGACTCTTCCCTAATGGGAAGATTACCGGGGAAGTTTTTGTGCTATAATTCTAACAGGTACACCAACACATACTGACTGTTTGCTGATAATATAAGTTTAAAAAATGACACGCAGCATCTGCACAATTACCTTTTCAAGGTATTGTTTTTTTCTGAACTGGGAGAAGGAAGCAGGAGGATGAGCAGTACCATCTGACTTGGCTTTGTACGTCTTTACTCTAGATGGCAAACTGACCCTGTTGCAAACCCTTTTTTCCTGTAGTTTTTCAGAAAGTTTGTTGGTAGCCCTGATCTTAGAGAATTTTTGTTCCATGTCCCAAGGTGTGGCTGGAGCATGCTGCATTAAGGCAGTACTTGTGTGGTACATCTGCTCTGTCTGTCTTGTGTGATGTCTGTATGATCGCAGGTGGTGGGATGGTGCTCAGTTTAGCAGTGTGAGGAGTTCTTTGTGCTAGGGGCTTGGGTGCAAAGCAACATGATTTCACAAAATGTAGAACGTTAACGTGTGGAGTCAACAAATCTCTGTGAAACGTCCAGTGCTCTTCTGAGAGCATAGAAATGCTTTTGCTGCCTTAAGCACCAAATCAGCTAGTTAGCATCTTACTTTCCAGGAATGAATAATTCACTGTACTGCCAAGTGTCAACCAGGCTTGGTTGCAATCAATCAAGATATTTATTGCTTCCATCTAAATGGAAACTCTGTGTACATTTTTCTGACAAATCTGAATTACTGGCTCGCTGTTATTCCTTGAAAGAAGAATCAATGAATGCCAGCAGTTCTCTCTAGTTGGAGTTATTTACTCTTCGGCATCTCTACAATTGCCAAATTCTTAAATATTGGGAGAAAGAGGGGTGAAGGGTGGGCTGTGCTGGGAAACCAGCTGTAGTTATTTTTGCTCTCTGAGAACTGGCCACAGTGTGCGATGAGCAGAACAAACCTACCGAGGTATTTCTGAATGAGCCAGGGAAAGGGCAGTGCTTTACTGTTACATCCCACCAAGGAGTTTGCCTACAGGTCTTATTTTGGTTCCATCCCTAAAATGTCTCGTGCTTCTGTGTGCAGCCACCTTGATCGTAAGTGGATTTGGATGCTTCTGATGTTCAGGCTACACTTGGAGCATGCATTTCACACCTCTTGGAAAAACTCAGCATGTACTATGGTGTATTGTGAGATGCTTTTTTACCTCACTCCTTGTCTGTGCTGGTTTAGCTTGGCAGCAGCAGCTGGAGCTGCTCTTGGGCAGTCGCTTTGGGATTTCCAGTTCCTGCTCAAAGAGCCTGGTGCTTGGCAGAGTCCCTTCTTTGTGATGCCTTTCAAATGCCACTGTTTGTTCTGCCTCCTAGATTAGAAACAATATTCTAAGCAGAAAAACATTTTAGTTCTTCTCTCCCAGTGCCTGCAACACCATTTTCCAGGCTTCCATTGCGGAGCTGGAGGGACAAAATTCTGATCAGTAAGACTTAATGTATTATGGGTGGAAAGGCATTTGATGAAGAAAACCAGCTATCTACGTTTTTTTCCAGAGCTAAAAGGATCCTAGGAGGAGGAGGATGTTTGCTTTCTTCAGTTTTGGGTTTCTTAACAGTATTAGGGTTTCATTTCCTTCGAATGCTTCTGTGATTGTAATGCTGCTTTGCTGCCTGCTCCGAGTGCTTTCCAGCTGTGACTCTTCCCAGAGCAAACCTGAGTCACTCCCAACCTTCAGAAGTTTGCAAGAACACTCTAAACAGTTATAATGCCAAACTCTGTTGTCGGGCATTATGTACATGTGCATCTGATCCCTTCCATATCTGAAGCTCTGCTGTGCACCATCTCCACGGAAAGCTTCCTGCATTTGTTCGAAGCTCTGTGATGTCAGTAATTTTTGCAGAAACTTGAGGAGCACTGTGCTTGGTGCAGCTGTGTAAAGCAGCAGGATGGTCTTGAGGCTGAGGGTCGTCTGTGAGTTCTCCATTCATTGCTGCCACAGTGATGCCAAGGGGGCCTTGAACAGGAGGCTGCTCCTATACCCCTCCTACCCTCGAGTATTGCATCTTTGTGCTCTGTTGTTGGGCTTTCACTGGTAATCTCTCCTGGGGTTTGCACAGCACCTAGCTCGCTGGGATCCCTGTCTCACTTGGTTTCTTTAGGCATTACTGTAATATAAACCAGCAGCACTAATATTTTAGCTGTAGGGAGAAATGTGCTAGTTTGATCCGTGCCGTGTGGAATAAAGAGAAAGCTACTGCCCCTAGCCCAGGAGTGTGAGTAGCATAGCAAATGTATTAGTGATCTTCCAGAAATGTTAAATGAGATGCATTGCACCGTAGCCCTCAAATACAGCCTTCATATCACAGAGGGTTTTTAAGAGATTTGCCTGTCTCAGTGTAGCTTCAGACGGACACGCTCAAAAGGGCTGGAGAGCACTGGAAATGAGGGTGAGCTTTAGAACTGAGTTTCTGAGCATGATTTTCCAAGAGTGCATGTTTTAAAAGGAAAGGATAAATAGACTGAAGAAGCTCAGAAAGACAAAGCAGTGAATCTTCTTGGCAGCACTTTGTAGAAAGGCCAGAGAGATATTTTAATAGTAAATAACCAGCAAAACAAATGGGCTGGTGCTGCACACGTTAAAGCAGTCTCAACAGGGAAGGGAACAGCAGTCTGAGTCTGTAGGGTTTTCCTTCCCTCCTGGATCCTGCTGCTCTGTGTCTCTTTGTTACGTGAGAGTTTCTGCAGTGTTGGTGCAGTGTGAGATCGCAGGTGCTCCCTGCTTGAGCCAAGGAGAGATCTCTGCCTGATGCTGTGGTGGTGCAGCCTTGCTCTGCAGCTCTGAGCTGTAAACAGCACCACAAACTTCGGGTTTGAATCTGTTCTCTTGAAAGGCAAATGAGGGCAAGGAGTGCCCTGGCCAAGCTGAGAGTATGAGGGAGGAGAGCCCTGAACGGCAAATAGCATCAGGAGTTAGGCTGCCTGCAGTGAGAACTGCTTCGTAAATGCAAGTGTGTTGCTGGGAAGAGTAGGTCTGATAGACTCTGTGTTCCCTCTGTTAAGTATCTTGGGGCTGCTACTTGAGGCCCCTCTCCTTCAGTTCCCATCTAAATATCTTCAGGCTGAAGCTGTCGGTGGGTTGATGCTCTCTTGGTCCTGCTGCCATTCATCTCTTCCTCTGCATGGAAATGAGGTCACAAAGCCCCATTTCTGTGGGCCTGCAGGTCCAGCGCTGCCCCCCCCTCCATGTTCCTGGGCACCACAGGGCCTGAGGTGGTGTGAGAAGTGTCACCACCAGGTACTTGATAGGGCATGGAGAGCACTGCTCTGATGGTGGGAACACCCAGCTGGACTGAGGGCCTTGGCTCTCTGTGCCTTGTTTTCCCAGTTCTGTGGTGAGTTGCCCAAAGTTCCCAAGTCCTCTTGTGTTAGGAGTTCTTCACCCCCACTCTTTGCATGGGATGAACAGGTACCATCTCCTCACTTTGGTGAGAGCACAAGCTTGTCTGTGCTGCCCTTCTGGTACGTGGATGGAGTGTTTTAAATGGTTGCAAAAGAGGTTCGTTAGCAGAGCAGTGTGGGGGCTGCCACCAGCAGCATCGGGAGTGAAGTTGTTCAGTCTCTTTGGGGGGCTTTCGTTTGCCCCCCGAAAAACATGAATGTTTCTAGCACGTTATTTATGAAAATTAAATGATGGAATTGGGATAATACCTGCCTCATGCTGCTCTTGATGGTTAATTAATGTTTACAAAATCACTTCAGGTCCTGAGATTTAATTGAAGGAAATATATTACCATGTAAAATACCTTTTTATACAGGCAGTGCAATAGGATTTCAGAGTGCTGGGGAAGCCAAGATTAGCATATGCTTTACTACTTTTATGGTTGTGAGGCTTCCCATAGTTTCTGTGAAAATTGTCTCTCTGAAATCACAAATATAACATCAGTGTTTTCCTCTCACTTGGAAGAGATATTAATCTGCTATCTTAGAACTTGACTGTTTAAACTGCTATAAATGCAACTAACCTCTGAGAAAAGAGAAGTGTAAAATGAAATATCTTTTGACTTGCTTGGGGTGAGCTGATACAACTTGCTAATGACTCCTCCACTGCAGTCATATGGATGTTGCTGGCTCGTACTGGTAATAAATTAGGCTGGCACTGGGTGTCCTGCTGTAGTCTAAGTATGCATTTGCATGTTCATTATAATCTCCTTCTATCAAGAGATTTAAAATACAGCTATAAAACTTCATTTCTGGAGTTAAATTTAACAATGGAGGTGTCAGCCAAGGAGCAAGCTCTGTGGAAGGTTGTGGGTTTTTCTTCTTCCCAGAATAGTGAGAGGAAGAGAGGCAATCCTGGTTCAGCTGGTCTGGGCTGTTGGAATAACACATTATTACTGCATAAGTGTCACACCTTATGCTGTAATCTTTTTCATCTTAATAGTAAGAGCAGTACGGTTGGGTGGTCTTGGAGTTGGGATCTGTTACTCAGTTTACTTCTGTTGTTTCCAACACGCAGGGTGACTATGACCCCAGCAAAACCAAAGTGCTTCATTTCAGCATGAACCCTGCAAGCCTGGCCAAGCAGCAGCGCAAGGAAGAGCAGCAGCAGCTGCAGGAGGAGTGTGAGAGGCTGAGGGAGCTGGTGAGGGTGCTCGAAGCCGGCGGCTCCATCCATGGGAATCTGGAAGGAGTTGGGAGCTTTCAGTCACCGCAGGAAGTTGCAGGTAGGCTGTTGGCTTCTAGGCATGAAGATCTTATCCATTCCATATTGCCAGAGGAACTGACTGCCAAAGCAGATGGAGATGTTGCAGACCATGTGCTTGCTGGGGTGGTTGTGAGGAAAATGAAGAGAAGTGGGACTGGTGCAGGAGGTGTGTGGTAGCAATCCAATGGCAGGTTGGTACGGGGGGGAGGTGGTAACGATGAACAGTAATAATCCATATCACTTGCTAATGAGAAATGAAATACCAGTATAGCAGCTTTCCCATGCTTTTGCTGCCAATAGAGTAAAAGGAAATATTTCCTTCCTTTCAGGGCTGCTCTAGCCCTTGAGGTAGTACAAACAGCAGGAAATAACTTTGATAGCTGCAGGGGAGCAAGTGGTTGAAATCTTTTCAGACCTGGCTTAAAACAAATTAATATTGTTTATCAGTGTATATGTGCCCCATTAATCACAGTTACATTCAATACTCCATGAAAATAGAATACATCTTTCACTGAGCTAAATACATCTCACAAAAATCTGTGGCTCTCCTCCAATACAGTCTGTCTTCCCTTCACAAGCATGTGTGAGCCTTTTTAGTACAGTAACCCCTAAGTCAACACCTCCAGACGTGCTCTCAGACTCTGTAAATCAAGGTAAGGATATCAAAAAAAGCGACCCATCATCTACAAGGCTGTGAGGTGGCTGAACTGAGTCGAGTTGTGCTGCAGAGCCCAAGAGACCTTACTGCTGTAATTCTCTCACACATGCTCTGCCCTCAAAATGTTTTGTTAGAGAAATGGTAAGAGCTGTGAGGAGCTGACCTGATGTGCTCCAGCAGCACATGCATGGGATGTGTCCGGAGGTCAGAGTGCTCCCTCAGATGTGGTGAAGAGGGCAGAGCTTTCCTCTTGAGTCATGTGTGTAAGAAGCTCGAGACCCACATAGAGGCAGAGCCCTGACTGAAAAAAAAAAAAACCTCACAACAAAACATCTTTCACTGCTATGGCACAAAAATGTTCTGAAAGCAGCTTGCTTGTCTTTCCACTGCTGAAAGGAAAGTTCTTCATTCCTGTTAAGACTGTTTCAGTCTCATAGTGGAACATGCCAGCATATAGTCTTAGAAATATGGTGGTGAGAAGTACAGATGGGGTGGTTTTAAAATGAAGAGCTGAAGATGTGCTAGAGGTACAGTGATGGTTTGTCACTGTTGTTGTTCGTGGATGCTCCAACAGATGCATAAGCATCCACTTCCCAAATGTTTAAGGAAGGCTATCTTTGCTTGTAGGGGCTTCCAGTCTGAGGTCCTGGTGGGATGTGAGTAGTTCTCAGGGTTAGTGTTTACCTTACAGTCTGCATTTGAAATGTCACTGGTGTTTAAATTACAGTGGCTGTGGCTGCTCGGTGCCCTTGCCTGTCACTGTGGTTGGCACAGCTGATACTGCAGAGCCCACAGCTGGCACTGCCCCTAAGCCCTGCATGGAGAGTGACGGTCAGGGGCAGACACTGCAGAGGTGAGGTCAGCTCTGTCTCTGCAGCTGATGAATGAGCCTCTGGGGCATCATCTGCAGTAATTAGACCATTTCTTCTCAGGGAGTGTGTTGCTCGCGTATGCCTTCTGTGATTTGTTATTCATAATTATTCTGCTGCCTTTCATGCAGTTGCTTTTAGCTGTTCACGAGGCATTTCTGTGCTGGGATGTTACCAGGTTTGTCTTTAGCTCATAAGGGATTCATTTTTAAAGCTGCTTTCTCTTTTTGCCTTTGATTCTGACAGGAAAACAAACAGCTCCCTGGGTGTCAGTGTATTTCCAGCTTCTCCTATATATGGTGGGTGTTTTTTTCCTGTTGCCCCAGCCCTGTGCTATGTCATTCTGATTCCAGTTAAGCTGGGGAAAAGCATCAGTTGCAGAATCTAGCAGGGTCAGAAATACTTGGGTGACAGTCTCTTGCCATCACTTATCACAGGTACAGGAGGGCCCTCTGTATTCTCTAAGTGCCTGTAAGTGCTTATAGAAGTGTTTCATGAAGAAAAAAAAGCTGTAGGTAAGGGATGGAGGAGCCCTGTGGATGACTGTTTTAGAGATCTGGTTATGTGCAAGGATCTTGATTGTTCTTATGTGCTTGTGTTCATCACTGTCATTGCTATAAACAACCCTAAACCCTCCTCTCCTGTGCAGGGAGCATTCAGTGGTATGGTCTGATGTTAAGATCCCATGTGCGTTAGTGAGGATGTTCAAGGGATGCTGGGGATGTTATGGCACTGATTACAAGTCTGCATGGCATATCTGAGCTGCCTTTAAGTTGGAATGCCAGCTTTGGCTGCTTTGCTGGGGCAGGGCAGAGCTCCTCAAGCATGCTATGCAAGCTGCATTTATTTCTGCATTGATTCCATCCTGCTTAGCTCATGCTGTGATTGCAGTGTGGATGTGACAGCTGTTCCAGGACTGGTTTAATAACATGGATCCTCATGGCTAGAAAGCTTAGATTGTCTTCCTTGGGAAAAGAAGTGCAAGATGTAGCTTTCACTGTTGTCTTAGGATCTCAACAGCTCTGCCCACAGGAATGGCAGCAGTGAAGAGCTGCCATGTGCCTTCTATTTCAGTGTATTTTTAAGGTGTGAAATGAGCTGGTGGCAGAAGCTCCTCTGCTCTGTTTGTCATTGTGCAGTTGGCTGCCTTTGGGAGTGAGCTTTATTGTGCATAACAAGGGAGCAGTTTTCAAGGAGGTTTGGGGAATTGTTTCTGGACAAAAGGAGGAGAAATCAGTATTTTTCTTGCACCCTGTTTTGCCAACTGCAATACCTGTATACCTGTGTATGCATCTGACTCATTTGGTGCATGCAAGAGGCAAACACCCACCTCTGAACTTGTGAAGAAGGAGACCTGTCAGTGCTGCGTGGAATGCAGGGAGACCAAGGGCTGAACTCATGAGTAGGAAGAGTGGATAAAAGCAGGAGGACAGCAAAGGTCATCTCTAAGTTTGCATTTTTGCCTCTTGACAGTTAGTGGTAAATGTAAGATTTTATCATCCTGTTCTGCTGCACACCCTGAATAGCTTGTTGGCACAGGTGAGGAATTTGGGTGGCCTGCAGCCAGTCAGGTTTGCTCTGTTCAGCATGCTTATGTGAACTGCAACAATTGCACTTCAGGTACAAAGGATTATAATTACCAACCAAAAAAAGCATTAAGGACTGTGATGTTGATGGTTTTGATAATAATGTATTGGCCATTATTCAATTCATTCATTGGACCGGAGTGCAGCACGTTTTTTTTCTGATTGTGGTTCCAACTCCTGGATAGGTAATAAGGGAATTATTACTGTGGACGTTAAAGCTCATTAAATGTGACTCTATTAAAAATCAAGGTTATGCTGGACTTTAAATCTTTTTGAGCATAACCACTGGAGGCTGCAGCACAAGCTGGCAACTTGCCACGTGGTTCAGTGGTCCTTTTCTCATTTAAGCAGTAATAGTCTCTATTAAAATGGGTGCCAGTGCTATTGCAAAGGAGAGGCTTGGACAACGTGAGCTATAACAACTTTCTGTCCTTTTTCAAAGTATAAAAATTGCACGCGGGCTTGTGCAGTATTAATGGGGCAGATCTGTGGCAGCCCCATTAAGGGAATGGGCTGTAACTTTATGGGTGTTTTGTTTCTCTGCCAGTGCCTCCATGGGTCTGGGTTGTGTAACAGCAGTGTGCACCAAGGTCAGGCTGCCATCTGGGAGCGTTTCTCAGTCCTCCTGCCTCAAACAGGGATGCAGATTGCAACAGCTTTAGGAAGGTGGTGCAGAGAATCACTGCCCAGATTTGGAATCTGTTCCAGTGCAACGTTTCTTTCTTGTGCTCTTATTGCTTTTTTTCCCCTGTACCTTTCTGTACTTCAGGCTGCATCTCTGCTTTATTTTCCTTCTGATCTATATCTTTATTTCCTGCTTTGCTTCAGGGCAGTTCTGTTTAGATGTGGGTTTTTTTGTTGGTTTTTTTTTTTTGCTCTGGGTTGTTTTTTTTTGGCATTGCTAGAGATGGAGTTTGGTCTGCAAGCAAATAGGTAGGTGGCAGTACCAGCTGGAGGGGAGCTGATGGATGCAATGCTTGTCTCTTAGAGTGCAGCATGGGTAGAATAGTGCTGATTGTTTCCATTTGTGATCTTATCTCAAAGGTGACATGCTTGAAGATGGGAATATGAATAACCTGTTCCTGACTGCAAAGTGCAGCAATGCAAATTTTCCACTTGCTTTCATGATTTATTGCTATCCCGTAGGTGTGGTGGTGCACTCCTTTCTTTCACCCAGCCTCTCCCCATGAGGAAAAGTGCTTTTAGTATTCTTTCTGTTGAGAGAGAGACCGACACCCCTACCAGAAAAGAAGATGGGGAAATCAACTGACTTCTGAAATTCTCCACAGACAGATGAAGTGAGCTATTTTCCTTAAACTATAATTCCACCAAAAACAAAAGCTACTGATCAGTCTGAACAGCTTCTGTGTTTTTTTTCTGTTGGTAAAGTAGGGAAAAGGGCTCCCTGATGGGTACAGGAGAATCTTGCTGCAAGGCTGATGTTTGACCTGAATAGAGATGCTATATTGCGTGCTAAGCAATGGCTGTCTCCAGCATCACAGCTATGTCAGTGTCTTGTAAAAACGTTACTAATTGGAATTAAATTGGGTAATGAATTAATACTAAAATAATCTAATCCTGTTAAAGTGACAAGCCAGAGATGGTAAAATTTGTCACTGTCCCAGCATGCTTATGCTTCTGATGAATGTGTTTCTGAGTACAGAAGGTGACAAAAAGGAGCAGATGGAATTGAAAAGTTGCTGTTCTCCGTCCGCAGTTGTCTGAGCTGATGGTGCTTGTGAGCCTTGATGCTTCCTCCCATCTGCCTGTAGGACATCCATGCATGATGAGGGCTGCACCTGTGAATGAGGTGCGAGTTCACCTGACAGAGTTCTTAATAGGTGGTGGGTGGATGCAGCACCTGCATTCACTTTGCTCTGGTAGCTCGTGGCATCTTGCCGGTCTA